TCGTGGTGATGATTGGAGTAGCAGAAAAGATGGTGCCTTTATGATCGTGTCACCATGATGGAATGCTAACTTTTTGTTATGTCTTTCCTAGGCAAGCCCGATGCATAACCCCTATTATTCTGCACTTTATTTTATGCTTGTGCATTAAGTTTTAAGGAGTTGAATGAAAACCACTTGCATATATATATATATCCTTATCCTATGAGTCCTACTAGTATGTCAGGATCATATAGATTGCTATGCTATAGGATCTGGTAGAAGTCGAGTGATTACCTGTCACTCGTGAGAGATAGGAAAGATATTATTGTTGTTATTATCATATTACTATCACATGGAATATATATATCAGGATGATAATTAGAGATCGGGCGGAATGGTACTTTGGATCTAGACTTGGTTAGGCATTCGAGCGAGGCTCGGGTTGCATTTGTTTCGCCTGTGTCGATTGAGGACTGTCTGTTGTTGTGGATGGTAGTCAGGTCACAGACTTATTATCCTGAACACATACTTGCTTATGGGAGCGGGAAGGCTCGTTATGCTCTTGTCATGGATTTTGGCACTTTTTGGACCGACTGATTGGAGGCGGGGAAAGGTGGAGGTCTAAGCACCATATTGAGACCGGGTCTCAAGTGTGGGTGCTTGGAGTCCAAGTTTGAACGGTGACCTAGACCCCTTGATAGGAGTGGAATGGGTTGGTCTTGTTTGTGTCTGGGTACAAACGGGGCGTGTGTTTTGGGGTATCCAGCTAGGATACATTGATTCGTGAATCGCCATTTCTGTGAGACGGTAGCGACTTGGCTATGGTCTAGCACCGTAGTAAGAACTGGAACTTGAAAGGTGATAAAATGGTTCTGATTGCTTACCACCTGCTTGAAAGTAGCATAGGTGCCTACATAGAATGGATAGTTAATGAACTAATGATGACTGCTAATAAAATTGAATATAAGGATGCACGTTTAGTAATGCTTCCGCAGATGCAATGACCTACAAGCCAAATAAGTCTTTTATATCCTTGGAGTCATTTATTTTCCTCCGGTTATCATTCCATGTATATAAATGTTCCTCATGTTAGCGCTTAAACTTGTCATTATATACATTTCCGCTGAAAACTGTGATAACATTGTTATATTCCGCTGTTATAATCAATTGAGGTAATATTCTGCTATTGTAATAAAGTGATGTAAGAAATGGTCTAAGAATATTGTAAGCTCTATTATCTCATTTATGATCCTAATGGAAAAATGTGGATTTTTGAGTTCTCCCTTGGGGTGTGCTCGATGGAACAGCACGATTTAGTGCACTCTCTTGGGTACTTAGTGTCTAATGGAAGACAAGTACTCGTGAGAGGGTATTAGATTAGGTGGTTCTACCACAACAGTCCACCGTGGATAATGCTTTGAATCTCGGCTACCATAACCACTATTATAGAAAACTTAATGGAGGCGGGCAAAAATGATTTTCCAAGGCAAACATCTCAATCGCCTCCAATTAAAGGTCATGGTTAATCATGGTTTACACAGGCGATTGAATATTACCCGCCTTGGTTAATCAAAATAAAAATAAATAAATAAATAAAGCCCATACCCGACGAGTCTGGGCCTAGATCTGGGCCGCTAGCATCCACGCCACATCGCCACACCATCGGTCCTCCATGCCAAGTTCCTCCACGGCGAGCCATGTGTGCGCCGCCTCCTCCTCCTCCTGCGGACGTGCCGCCACTGCTCCTCCTGTGAACGCGCCGCCGCTGCCATGAAGAGAGGGTGAGCAAGATGGAGAGGAGAAAACAAGGGAGGGAGCCGCTAGATCTACCCGCCCGCGCGCTCCTAGCCGCGCGCTGCCGAGGGAGAGGGAGGGAGGGAGCCGTACCTAAGGCGGATCTGAGCGGAGGAGGCGCGGCGAGCCCGACGTCAAGGGGGGAGCCTGCCACCGACGGAGAGGGAGGGAGGGAAGCCGCCAGATCTGAGCAGAGAGAGGGAGAAAGGACGCCGGATCTGAGCAGAGAGAGGGAGGGAGGGAGGATGCCGGATCTGAGCAGAGAGAGGGAGGGAGTGAGAAGGAGAGGGAGAGAGATCTACACGGGTGAGAGAGGGAGGGAGGACGGGTGAGGGAGGGAGGCCGCCGCCTGGGCCTAGGAGCGGGAGGGTGGACGGGTGAGGGAGGCTGACTGGCTGAGGAGGAAGCCGCAGAACCCTAAGTGATGTATATATACGAAGAGCTATCGGGCCTTGCCTGGGCCTATTGGGCCTCGGCCTTTTTAGGAGGCGGGCATTATAGTGTGCCCGCTATGGAGGCGGGCGTCTTAAGACGACCGTCTCCGAAAATAGTCTATTTTTGGAGGCAGTTGTCTTAAGGCGCCCACCCCTGTAAATCCATTTTTCGAGGCGGGCAAAAGTGACCGTCTCCGTAAATAAAAATGTCCGTCTCCGTTAATCGTCCAATATTTTTCGAGGAGGTTGGATTTTATGACCGCCTCCGTTAATTAAAGTGCAACGCCACGCAAAATCAATCATGTAGTGGTGAACGCCGCCTCGACCTTCGATCAGGTCATCGACCTTGGATGAGGGAGGGGCAAAATCTTAGCCGCCCAACGTCGTGTCATGGAGAGCACGGGCCAGGTGGGCGTGGTGGCGTCGGAGAGGGCGGCGGGTAGCACGAAGAGGCGGGAGGCATGGCCACCAGCTCCATGGCATTGGATCGAAGAAGAAAGCGATGCGCGACAGTGAGAAAGAAGGAAGAGGCGGGTGAGAAGAAATGGTTGTGTTAGTATACTGAAATAAGGTAAAGTTTCTGGTATCAACAGTTCAACACCACCTAGATAAAATTTAGATGACTAAATAAACTCTAATTGCAACAAAAATGTAGTCCAACACCTACAGTCAATCGAAACATGCCTTCGGGCTTCGGCAGCATTGCATTGCATCAACAATGGCGCTGCACTAGGCAAAACACTGTGTAGGAGTACACGTAGTAGGAATCGATGAGCGGCTAGATAGGTCGACGATAATAATGTGCCTGACAGCTAAGCTTTTGTTAGTTTGTATTGATGACACGTGCCTGCTTGTACATATTGTTGCCGCTACCGACCTTGTTGTGGGGTATTTGGTTCGTGGCCGTGCGTACGCAGACGTGAGTACGTGACCTACGACTCCTGTCTGCCTCTACGGCTCTACCCTCTACCTGGGCCGGCATAAACATGCGTGTCTTGTTAATTAAGCTGTCGTTAACCAACCAACCAAACCAAACCAGACCCTACCTACTCCTGCACAGTGTGCATCTGTGTGCATGCATGCATTTCCTCCCTTTATATCTATAGAGAGAGGTAACAAATACTTTTGCTATGATAATTTGAAAAAGAATGAAATTTTATATTATCTCTATATCTTATAATTCTAAACCCCACTAGAGTTCAGTTCCAACATTCAAGATGTCCACCTTAGCAATTCACTATATATCAGATGCATTTATAGCCCACTAGCATTTACAATTATGATACACATGTCACTTAGTTATCCGCGTCAGCGTACACATCATCCACTAATATTAATTTATAATCGATTATCCTTTTGTATAAAGGCACTACCCAATGCAAAAACCACCATAGTTTCTATGAACATTAATTATACTGTCACTTAAATGTTTTGCTGATATGGTAAGATAGTTATGAAGAGAGAGCAAAAACCATAGAAACCGGGTCTAACTTAGAAATCATGTCTATACAAGAACTAAGACATAAAGGGATGTGATCGGTAGATAATGGAGAGAGAACGTATGTGATTGGATAAAAAAAATTCTAAAAAAACTATTCATTGAGCCTATAATTTCTATACGTAGTGTCTATGAAAATTAATATATATAGAAACTACATGTAGATTTTAGCATTGAGACTGTCCTAAGTAACTATATATATAGTCTAATTTATTTAAAACATCAGTAATTTTCGTGGCAACACACCGGGTATTCTTCTCGTTATTATTATTTGAAAATACCAGTGCTAACGCTAACCCTGCTAGAGTGATAGAGGAGTACCGTTTCTCTTTGAGTGAGTCTGTTAGTTCGCGAAATGAAACTTTTTGACGTCACGTCAAATGTTTTGGATATCGGAAGGAATTTTCGGGTACTAATAAAAAAACTAATTACATAGCTTGACTAAAAACTGTGAAACGAATTTATTTAGTTACTGTAGCACTTATTGTTAATTATGGACTAATTAATCTTAAAACATTTGTCTCACGATTTCCAATCAAACTGTGCAATTAATTTTTTTCGTCTATATTTAATACTCTATACATGTGCCGCAAGATTTAATGTGTTTTTTTCGTCTATATTTAATACTCTATATATGTGCCGTAAGATTTGATGTGATAGTTTAGGTAAAAATTTTAGGCCTGAGCTGAAGCCGTGACTGGGTAGCCAACACATATCTGCCGACACACCTCCTGACATTGACCCAAATAATAAACACAAAGAACGATTTATTTCCTTTAAAATAAAACACTGCTCCAGGAGCTATATTATATGCAATGATGATCGTACCCGCCCATTCATTCATTCATTCATACAGTACATACAAATATCAGTAACAAATTAATTCAATGGCACCTTATTTAGACTAGTAGTAATTAACAGTATCTTGTAGATGACCATGCATCATATTCATATCATATAGTAGTAGTAGTAGTAGTATACAAAATTACAAGTAATAATACAAAATTACTAGAAGCAGAAGCAGCAGTGGAGTGCTAGCTAATAGTAGTGACAAGTGTTGAAATGCACTAGTAATAACAGCTAGTAGTAGTAGTGATTTAGTAACAAGAAAGAAAGAACAAATTAAACAAGATTGCTAAGCAAATTTGTTCAACAAAGGAATGGATTCCTTGGGCGCCCAGCTCGCATCTCATGTCCTGTGGTCGCATCCGCCATTGCCATGCATGCAATGCAATGCAGCTACTCGTCATCAAAGGTTAGAGGGAGAGTGATAGAGGGAGAGGCACTGTAGCTAGCTACTCATCATCGTGGCCATGGCTGTCCACCTCGTCGTCCTGATCATCGCCGGCCCTCCCCTTGCCAATGCCGTCCTCCTCCCCGTCGACATCCTCGGCGCCGTCGTCCTCTCCACCTTCATTATTAGCGTTATTGCCACCGCCGCCGCCGGAGGCCTGCTCCCTGTCCATCCCGAACCCCGGCGGGCCGTAGCGCACGTCGGGGTACTTGACCACCGCGTCCAGCAGCTCCGAGCTCACCTGCTTGGCCTCGCCTCCCCCGGCATTGGACTTGCCGTCGCGCGCCGCCGCCGAGTGACCCGAGCGGGAGTAGAGCCTGTCCAGCTCGTCGAAGTAGGGGCACGTCTTGGCGTGCGCCGGCCGCTTCTTGCCGCTCTCCTTGGCCTTGCGGAAGTACTTGTTGATGTTCTCCCACTTCTCCTTGCAGCGCTTGGCGCTGCGGCCGTAGCCCGCCGCCGCCATGCGCGCGCTCACCTCCTCCCACAGCGGGCCCTTGAGCCCGGGCTCCTGGAACCGCCCCTCCAGCCCCGTCCGCACCCGGATCAGCGCCTCCACCTCGTGCTTGGGCCAACGCGACGTGCTGAGGTGCAGCGACCCGACCCCCTCGGGCGCCGTCGCGTCCCCGCCGTCGTACGGCACCAGCTCCTTGCCGTTGCCGGCCGCCGTCGCGTCCTGGCTCGTGTCGTCGCCGGACGCCGCGGCGGGCGGTGGCGCCGGCGGGAGCGTGATGGACTCGCCCGAGATCTTCTCCAGGTAGGCGATGATGGCGGCCTCCCGCGCCGCGGCGCTGGCGCGGTTCTGCGCGCGCGCGCTGGCCTCGCGGGCGAACTTGTCAGCCTCCTGCCGCCGCCACGCCTCGTCCCGCGCGGCGCGCTCCCGCTCGCGCCGCTCCATGGCCTCCAGGAACTGCCGGTGGAGGCTCTCCTGGTGCTCCATCAGCCGCTGCACCAGCCGCTCGAAGAAGGACGCCGACGCGCTCAGCTGCTCCAGCTGCTGCCGCCGACGCTTCCGCTTGCGCCGCGCCGCGTCCGTCGAAGGCTGGGGCTGCGGCTGCGGCTGCACCACCGCGGCCACCTCCTCCCCAGCCGAAGTCTCCGACGTGTTGAGCTGCGGGCCCGCGGCCGCCACGTCCGGGAGGTCGGCGATGGCCGGCTCGAGGATGGCATTGTCGTCTCCGGTGAGGCCGGAGCCGGACCCCGTCTGGCCGACGCCCGCGCCGCCGCTCCCCGGCTTGTAGATGGCCTCCAGCTCGCTGAACAGCTTGTAGTTGCCGCCGCCCGCGGCCGCAGCGGCTGCGGCAGCGGCATTGTCGTCGCCTGGGCCTTTCTTGAAGTAATTGGCGGCGGCAGCCGGCGCGGGGGACTCGGGCGTGGCCACCTTCTCCTTTCCCGTCCTCTTGCTGCTGCTCGAGCTGTGTAAGTAGTCGATGTCCAACGGCCGCCTGCGCAAAACATTGTGATGGTGAGGAATCAGAAGAAGCATGGTGAGATGGAGAAAGGTGCCACATTTTGATTCACACTGCTACATGCTACTGGTACAAGATGGGTAGAAAGAAGAAGAGAATTCGTTGCATGCAAGAACAAGATGAGGCCTTTTGTCCATGTCACCCCCAAAACTTTTGGTTGGGTGAGGTAATCATCGAATCCATCCATCGTCGTCGTGTAGAGAGAAAGAGAAAAGGGTCGGAGCCAGAGACGAGAAGCGTAGCACAAGGAATGCAGAGCTGAAAAGTAGGTGCTCGAGTGAGAATGATTTGAGCGAGGGAGGGAGGGAGAAGAGGAGAGGCCGAGAGGGGGAGAAGGGAATCGCCATCAGCATCAGCGTCAGCCATCAGCAGCAGCAGTTCTTTCTCAATCATGGCACTATTATTGCTCGTCCTCTGCTCCCTCCCCACGAGCATGAGCAATAGCATCCGAAGCAGAGCAAGCAAGCAAACAAGATGCGATCTTTTTCTCTCAACTTTTTTCTTTCAATTTCCACCAAGAATTCATTTTGATTGCGAGATTTGGAGAGAGCAGCAGTAGGGAGGGAGCAGAGGGAAGATGCACAACAGCACAGCCGCCTACCAGGTAGGTTCTTTGATGGAGGTCTCCTCGTCGCCGGTCCAGCGGCGGAGGCGGCTCTCAGTGGCGGCCTCGTCGTCGCCGCCGCCGCCGCCAACGTGAAGCATCATGCCGCTGCCCGCGGCGCCACCCCCGTCGTTGAGGCCGTCGTCGGTGCCTCCCGTGGCGCCGCTGCCGCCGCCGGGGTCGACCGCCAGCTTGAAGTTCATGGCGGCTGCCAAGAACGGGGGCACGCCCGGAGGGGTGGCGCCGCCCGAGGCCGCGGCGCTCCCGCCGCCCGCCGCCCCCGAGCTCTCCGGCACGGCGGCCTCGACGTCAAATCCGAGGTGGTGGTGGTGGTGGTGATGCGTCTGGGCCTGCGGCTGCTGGTGGTGCTGGTGCTGCTGCGGCTGCGGTGCCCATCTCGCCGGCGGCTGGTGGTGATGCTGCTGCTGCTGCTGATGCGGAGGCGGCTGGGGCTTGTGGTGGTGGTGATGCTGCTGCTGCTGCTGCTCGTGGAAGAGCTGGAGGTGGTGGTGCCCCGCGGCGGCCGCCTGGTGCAGCAGCTGCTGCGTGAAGGGCGGCGACGGGGCGGCGCCGAAGTGGGCGAAGTGCGGCGGCATGTGCGGCGCGTGGTGGTGGTGCTGCGGCGGCAGCGCGTGGTGGTGCAGCGGCTGGTACCTGAAGGGCCCGCCCAGCTCCTGGGCGGCGGCGGGCTGAGGCGGCTGCTGCTGAGGCGGCGGCGCGGACATGGCAAAGCCGCCGTCCATGATGAACTGCTGGAACTCGGACACGCCGCCGTAGCCGGACTGCATGGCGGGCGGGCGGGGCGGACTGGACTGGAGGGGAAGTGATTAGTACTGCCAGTACTCACTGGCCACTCAAGCTGCACTCCCACTGGGCAGTTACTGCTAGCTAGGGAGGTGAGCTGAGGTGAGCTGACCACGGCGGTGATGGTGTTTGTGAAGCTTTGCTTGGTTTGGCTTGTTACATGTTGCTGATGGGCAGCAGCCAGCAGGTAAGCTTGCTTGGCTTGTTACCTCAAGGGAATTGCAAATTGCAAGTGTGTGGGTGAGTGAGCAGGGGAGAGGGTGGAAGATGGGGATGGGGATGGGGATGGAAGGAGCAAGAGGATGGATGGCCTTGGCCTTGTCTTTAATGGAGGGGAGGGTGAGGGGCCTGAGGGCCTCTGGGGCAGGGGCAGGGGCAGGGAGGGGGAGGGTAGGCAGGCACAGCTGCACAGGGCAGTGAGGCAGGCAGGAGAGGAGATGAGATAGAGAGAGAGGAGGGCAGAGGTCTGTTTTGGTTTCCATTTTGCTTCTGCCTGCCCCCTGCTTATCTTCTGGCAGGTTTGGAAAGCAGCCCTCGGGCATGCCCTTATTTGTACATCTCTCTGCTCTGCCTCGGGGCGCCCTTCTTGCTGCTCTTCCCGTCCTTGTCCCGGTTTGAATGGACTCTTCCTCTTTTCAGGCAACAAGAGGGAGCTCAATTTTCACTTCTATTTCATCTTTGCATTTGTATTTTACTATGTGATTTAGGGCATGTTTGATACCATGGGCTTACGGTTAGATAGCTCAAATTAGTTCTATTGTATCTAAACAAGTGAGACAATAGATAAGCTATTTTTTAGCTAAATCTTTTTAGCCAACTAACTAGTCAGCCATAACTAATTTAGGCTAATTTTTAGCCCAACTAGTAGCTAGTCTTGTGTGTCCAAACATGACCTTAATTACCACCATCCCCACTCCTTCCATTATGAATACTTGATTTAATTCATCAATCGGATAGATCTCGCATTGTATTCTCTAATACATGACTAGCCATGCGATGACCTACACGCAACCACGTCCCGAGTAGGCCACTCGAGAAGAAGACCAAGCACTATGGGTTTAGCCTAATTGTTAAGATTTTATGGATACCACTCTTCCCTGACCTAGAAACCCCTTGTAGCGACAAAAGTGGCGGTTGCCAGCAACGCGTGTGAACTGGACGTCGATGGTGGCTCAAATCGAGAAGTAGGTGTCATGCAGTGACCGATGAGATTACAAGTCGGTGGGCTTTAAGGTAAGAATTAACGGTCAACCTATGGCACAAAGAGCCTTTATTCACTGCTCGTTAGTACAAATAATAAAAATGGCACGCAAGAGGATACATAAGTTGCCTATGGATGTAATTAGATGGCGAGAGTGGACAGTGGGAGGTCAAGAGGAAGAACACAACACAAAAAGGAAGGCAAATATGTGAGTCATTGTGCAGTATTTCTATCATTTTCCACATCCATTTTTCTTCAGCTCTACCAACATAGAGTTCCCTTGAATTAAGAATGTCCACACAGTTGCTCTAGGTTTAAAGCTAATTAATATTTTGGTTAATATGCGGTTAATATCTACTCCGTTTGAAACTATAAGACGTTTTGACTTTTCTAAATGCATAGTTTTTGTTATATTTTTAGATATATGCTATATCAAATTACATAATCAAAAATTATATATATCTTAAAAATAAAAAAAAAATCTTATAATTTAGAACGGAGAGTACATCTTTTATATAGCATGAACTTACAAGAAGATACGACACACGTTAATGCTTTTTCTTTTTGCAAATACTAGTAAAAACGCATGCTAGCTAGAGGTAGTGTTCAAAGGGAAAAGAAATTATTACAGCTTTGTCGTCGTAGGAGAAGTAGTTCTCATCGAGGGGCCAAACACAGGTAAGGGCATGCGCATGGGCATTGAGGAGTCCAAGAGCGTCCGAGCTGACTTGCCGAGCTTGAAAACCAGAGGGACTGGATTGCAAGTGAAAAGGACCTGTCCATAAAAGGCCAATAAAGAGCAAAAGAAAATGAAAAAGAAAAGGGGGGGAGAAGATGACGTCAGCTGGCCTTGGGGGCGTCAGGCGTGGCACCGCCACCGGCGCCACACACGTGCCCTGCACGTGTGGGGAGAAGCGAGAATCTGTTACTCCTCCTGCTCCTGGTGCATTGGGAAGTGCAGCTAATTAACTAGTACTGTACTCCTCCTAGTAGTAGTTAATTACTGCCTGATTGATTTGCTGAGTAGGATTAGTTTTTTTTTCCTGTCATCATAGAGAAGAATCGCTGATCCCTGTCTGCACTTGGCTTGCATGGATCATCTCCATCTATTCTATATCCACACTCAAGGGATGCGATGGTTGAATACACTCTCTAGATGATTAGATATTTTGATAAAAAAGCTATACAACGTAAATTTTAACTATGGTTTCTCTTACGACATGTTGGAATGATTAAATATTGTATTAGAAGTAATGCTACCATTAAGACGTTCGGAAGGCCGGACGCTTCGCTCCACTCACTGCCGCATGCACCGCTCGCCTACAAAAATTCAAAATCCCCACGGAAGCTCGTCTCCCCAACTCCGCGCTCGTGCGTTGCAGCTTCACGGCGTCGTGCGGCCGTCCGACCATCCCAATCCGCCGCGATTCCGCCTCCATCCCGCATCGTCGCTGGCCGAAACCGGCCGTCCCCCGCTCTGCGTTGCGTCGTACGGAAGAAGGGTGAAAAATACATGTCTCAAGCATCTGTTTCAAGTGTTTCAAATGTTTCAGAGGTATGTTGCAAGTGTTTCATACGGATGTTGCAAAAGTAGATCGGGATGTTGCACATGTTGCAATGGTTAAACACGTATGTTGCAAGCTCCTGTTCTCAATGTTTCATCTGTTTTTTTCAACGTATGTTGCAAGTGTGTGTATCTTGATGTTCCATATGTTTTCACACATATAATGCAAGTGTTTATCTAGATGTTGTGTGTGTATCCCAATATACTTTTACAACATCCTTATGAAACACTTGCAATATACCTCTAAAACATCTGAAACATTTAAAATATACACTTGCAACATGCATCGTATCTCGATGCGACCTCCGCCGTCTGCATCGGGGCACCGCAGCCATAGCAAGAGGCGAGCCCGGAGGGCTTCCATGCCAAGGCCCGACACTTCTCCTTGCACAGCGACCTCAGTGGCTAGATACAAGGGAGCGGTCGCCACGCGTGGGCCCGATGATGCCCGCGCCATTATGCGAAGCGGGCTGCACAGCAAAAGCAGCGATAGGAAGCAGCGGAGCAGCGTGGTGGTGCAGGGGAAAGAGGTGCACGGGGTGACCGTCGACGGCGGAGCGGGCCGCAGATTAGGAGCAGCGGGGCGACTGACGGAGTAGGAGCAGGCAGGTCACCGTCGACGTGCGGAGCAGAACGGAGTAGGTCTCTTGTCTCCCTTCTCATTTCCTTATATAACTGGCACAACAGAAGAGACGGACGTGGATACCGTAATAAAAAAACGAGCAAGTGCAGAGTAGAGGTTTATTGGACTGGTATGTAGACCGGCGTCTGGATTGACAGACGCCAAGTACGTATCATTTCTGAATTAACTAGTACTCCTCCTAGTAGTACTTAATTACTGCCTGATTGATTTGTTGAGGAGGATTAGTTTTTTTTCATGTCATCAAAGAGAAGAATCGCTGATCCCTGTCTGCACTTGGCTTGCTTGGACCATCTCCATCTATTTTATATCCACACTCAAGGGAAGCGATGGTTGAATACACTCTATATGATTAGAATTTTGATAAAAAAAGCTATACAAAGTAAATTTTAACTACGGTTTCTCTTACGATATGTTGGAATAATTAAATATTGTATTAGAAGCAATTTGAACGTAAATTTGTTGATGTAGTTTTTATGAAACTTTCAGGCCTCTTTGGAACACGGGAAAGAAAAAACACATCAATATAAAAAAATAGAAATTACATAGGAATGCAATTGCAAAAAAAAATGAGGATTAGACACATAGGAATTTGAAAGGAATGATCTTTGGATGAACCATAGGAAAAACGTAGGATTTTTACCGAGAGGTTTGAGTGGATGCTAAATTTCATGTAGTTTTCCTCCATAACAACATTGAAAGGAAAATTTCCTATGCTATTCCTATGCTCCATTTTTTTCCTCCATTTTTCGGACACTATTGAACCAAAGGCATGAACTATAGTATTTCCTATAGGATTCTCAACCCTATGTTCTTCCTCTATTTTTCCTATGAACCAAAGGAGGCCTCGGTATATTGTAAATTTGTGAATTTCCTATACTCGAAATACGCTCGTCATTTCTAGATATTAGTCTAACATTTTTTTTCTTTTTCATTAGCGTAATGCACGCCATATTTAAACTTATCATGGAGTGGTTGATACTAACGTATGAGTTTCTTAGACACCATGTTAAATGTCATTCAGGTCCGCCCAAATTATCAATGTTAGGTGCTACTCTCTTCGGTCTAATTTATAAGGCATTGTCCGATATGACACGATTTTCTAAATTACACTTTGACTATTTATTTATGTATATTAGATCTTTTATGATTATAAACTTATGAGTATTGGATAGTAGTTTAATTAAAAATTTAATAGTATCAAGTTTGTATTAAAATAGGTAAAATTTATCGGTCAAAGATTATAAAGTTTGACCATTGACCCATGCAAAATGTCTTGTAAACTGAACGAATGGAAGTAATATATATCTTCTTGCGAGGGCTAAGGTTTCTAACAAGGGCTTGTCAGCTTTGCCCCCAACTTTGCTAGCTTAGTGCCTTGTTTAGTTGGCCAAACTTGGGAGGTGCAAAGTTTGCACAGTGCAAGATTCTTCACTGTAGCATTTCGTTTGTATTTGTGAATTATTGTCAAACATTGACTAATTAGGCTCAAAAGATTCGTCTCGCAAAGTACAATCAAATTGTGCAATTAGTTTTTGATTTCGTCTACATTTAGTACTCCATGCATGTACCGCAAATT